AGGGGTACAGCGTGACTGTGGGGGTCGCCTGGGCAGGTGGGCAGGAGGGCCACCCCTCCCGCTAACTCGCTAGCTTAACCCTGCTCCTTCCCTCTCTGCCTGGGCTCAATCCCTCTGGGCTCAATCCCCTCCCCCATGACTCTCCCCAACTCCTTAAGTTTCTCCTTCACTTTCTCTCCCTCCCTCTGTCCACCTCTCCAGTCTCTCCCTCCCTTGGTCTTTTTTTTTCTGGGACTATGCCCGTTTCTCAGCGCCCTGAGGCCCATCTCTACAGTGGGCTTTCCTCTGAGACCTGCCTGTCTGTCCCTGAGACCCGGCGGGTCACTCCCCAGGCCCCCATCTCTGGATCTCTGTCTGTCTCCTTCCAACTCTAGATTTCTGGGTCCCTAAGTTTCTGTCTCTCTGTCTCTGCCAGTCTCTGCCTGTGCCCCCCCCCCATTTCTCTAGGCGAAGCTCCACTGTCCCTCTCTCTGTCTCTCTGTCCATCCATCTCTCTCCTCCCAGCCCCTCCCTCCCTCCCCCTCTCTCGCTCTCTGTCTCACTCTTCGCCTCTCTCTTTTCTCTCTCAAGTGTTTTCAATTTTATTCTGAGTGGAATTAACTACCCCTGATGTCAAATTGCCGCCGAAATCGATAATAATATCTTTACAAAAGAGGATATTCTTCTCTCGGAGAACGGCCTCTGAAAAATGGAAAATTTAGTCGAAATTGATTCATTACTTGACACTTTATAGAACGGCTGCGTATTGATCGCACCTGTCATGTCCCATCTCCCCTAATCGAAGCTGAAGGCCGGCTCCGATGCCTGCTATTTTTCATAATTCCACCGCAGCCGACAGCTCCACAAACACCGCCGCTCTCCCGGCCTCCGCCTCCCGCCCGGCCGCCACCGCGCGCGCCCTCGGCCTGGCCCTGGCCTCGCGGCCGCTCCGGCCCAACACCCCCCAACCCCGTGTCCATCTGTCCCGCAGTTCCCAGCGGCGCGTCCTGGGTCTATTGGCCCTGCGCCCGCACTCTGCTCCCAGGCCATCGGTCTGTCCTCTCTGCCCCAAAGTCTGTCTGTCCTTCTCCGGGGAACCCTCCTTCTCCCAGTCTGTCCACCCCTCCCCATTGGTGCCCCCCCCCCCAGGCTCCGGCGGCCCTGGCTGGCTGCACCCCCCCGGCTCTGTCCTAGCTGTCCTGGGGCTGTCTGCCTTTCACCATCCTTGGTCAGCACCTCCTGCCCCAGGTGGGTGGGGGAGAGAAAAGGGGTGCTGACTTCTCTCCCCAGTCACCCCATGAGACTCAGGTTGTGGGTTCCCTCTCAGCTGTCCCACCCCCCTCAAAGTGACCTGGCCCAATCAATCCAAATCTCTCTCCTTTCCCTTCTCCACCCCCCAACTCCAAGTCTTGGGCTATCTACCTATCCTGAACCCCTTTTTATTGCAGGATGGACCCCAAGACCTCATACACCCATGGAATGCACTAGCCATAGCCCAGAGCCCCCAGACCCCTTTCCTCTTCTTTTTCTCCCTCTGGCTCTCCTCAAGACCTTCCTCCTTCCTCCCTGGGTCCCCCCCCAAGATTCTGTCTTCTGCGGGGGAGGGGGTTCCTGTGAGAAACAGATGCAGCCCTGCCCTCAGGGAGCTTGGAGAGGCGGGGAGGGAGTGCTCTGATGGGCGGAGGACAACCAGAGCTGGAGAGTTGAGTCTGGGAGCCCTAGTGCCTGTGGGGGATGGAGGTACAGTCTGGCGGTTTAGAACAGACCCCCCTTCCCCAATTCTAACTGGAACCGGAGACCCTGTGGGAAGAATGGAGGCTCATAGTTGGGGTTCTTGCATGAAATGGGGTGCCCTCGGCAGGCATTTGAGCCCGCAAGACCCAGCAGCCCAATCCACCCCCTTGGGAAGTTCATCGTCAAGGGGATTGGACTGCAGGCTCAGCCCCCTTGGGCTCAGGAAGGACTGTGGGGGGAGGGAGAGGGACAGTGGGGATGAGGCGAGCGTGTGTGTGCTCACTCCATCCAGGCTGTACCCCTGCCCGCCTCAGGGCTCCCTGCACTGTACCGTCTCCCAGAGCAGGAGGCGTGGATGTGCCTTCCAGAGATGAGCACGGCATGGGGCTGGGAGTTCTCTCCTGAGTCTCTTCCTGTGTGTGTGGAACCCGGGGTTCTCGCCCAGTGGGGTGCTCACAGAGGCGTCCCTGGGGTGTTCATTATAGCAGGAATTTCCCATCTCCAGCCTGGGGGAGGTCCCCAACTCATTTTTTTTCTTTTTGGGTCACACCCGGTGATGCTCAGGGGTCACTCCTGGCTCTGCAATCAGGAATTACCCCTGCCGGTTCTCGGGGGAAGCATATGGGATGCTGGGAATGAACCCCCGGTCTGCCAAGTGCAAGGCAAACACCCTACCCGCTCCAGCACCGCCCCCAACTCGGTTTTGTTTGTTGGGCACAACACATTCTCAGTCCTCTCCGCCCCCCCCTCCCCCCCCCCCCCCCGGTACTCAGAGAAGGCACTGGGATTGCCCAAAGATGCACAGTGCCACAGTCAGGTGGGTTTCAGGGTGAACGGTGGACAGGCTCAGGCCCTGAAGTCCAGCAGGTCATATCCTGACCACCCAGGGCACCATAGCACCCTACCCCCTGGCTCCCCCAGCTCTCCCACTGGGCACCCTGAAAGCCCCAGTAGCGCCTTATCCCCTCCTTGTCCCCTAGGTGGGGCTCAGGGATGAAGGGGGAGGCATCTGTGCCGGCTTAGGGGAGGGGGTGGGTCACTAACTTCCTGGGAGGGGTCTATTTTCCTGAAGGTGCTGGTCTCTCACGCTCCCCAGAGCGGGTTCTTCCGCCCCCCGAGGACTTCGAGTCTGCCTGCTGAGCCCCTCTGCTCAAACAGGGCTCTCCTGTCCTCGCTGTGTCCTTGGGGCCTTTAGCTCTCAGAAAATCTGGCTGCATTTCCTGAGGCCTTGACGCTGTCCTGGATGGGGCTCAGGCCCCCCAGCGGAACGCTGGGTCTCTGCTCCGGGCCTTTCCACAACGTCTGCCTAGGCATGCAGGGCCGGGCTGTGCCCTCCAGAGGCTGCTGTGACAGTCCAGGAATGTTCTAGATGCCCTGAGGATCCTGACTCCTCAGTGCATCCGGGGTGGGGTTAGAGACAGCAGTGCAGGGTGGGGTGGGGTGGGGGCTTCCTTCCCACTGGCTACATGAGCAGGCACTATCTGGGGAAGGGATAATTCCAGTGAGATGCAGATCTTTTTCCCTTTTGTTTTTGGGGGCCATGCCCAGCAGTGCTCGAAGAGCACTCCTAAAGATGCCAGGGTGCACAGGCAGTGCCAGGGATGGAGCAGCTTCTACCCCAGCATTTCACCCCCTGTGCCATCCCTCTGGCCCCTGATCTGTGGATCAGTAACAGACTGATTTCCAAGTAGCAATGCCCACAGGCAATGCCACTAATCTGCTCTGTTTCATTCTCCCAAAAGCCAGGGCGGTGGGGGTGTGGGGGGTGGGGGAATGTCTTTCTTCCCCATTTTGCAGATGAGCAAACTAAGGCTTGGGGGTGCTTAGTGCCCTGCCCAAGTGAGGGTGCCTGGGGTTGGCGCTTCAAGTTCTCTCCCAGCCATCATGGGGTAGGGGTGTCAGTGGGTTTGGGGAGAGACGTCCTGTTCACGGCATGGCATGTGAACTTGGGAACAGCTGTCTTGCCCTGAATCTCTTTGCTCTCTGGAGGCCAGTGACTCCAGGGACTGTGGCAAGAATGAGCACTTTCTCCAGGACAGCAGTTTGGGGGGGAGGAGCCAGACCTGGGAAAGGGAAAGAAGTGGGGGGTGGGTCAGAGGTGGGGGAAGGAATAGGAATAGGGTGGTCCTGGACCAGAATCTGGAAGGGGGACTGCTCTGGGGCTGGGATCGGGGCTCCCAGGGCCCCAGGGTCAGAGGTTTATGCATTATTTATTGCTCATTTCAAAGGGACCTGGGTACTTCTCTATCACTCGGGGGATGTGCTTTAGGGTGTGTGTTGTGGGGAAGATTTCAACTTGTCTGCAGTGAGGCCACTGCCCTGGGAACGGGGTTAAAGGATGGATGTGGCTATGTTACGGCTCTGTTACCGCGGGGCGGCTGGGTTGAGAGTGGATCTGTATGCAGGCTGTGTGTCCGCGGGTTTGTGTCTGTGCGTGCCTGTGCATGCTTTCGGGACAGACGTCTGCATCCATAGGTATGTCCACAGCGGGGCTGTGAATCTGCGTGTGCACACTCGATGTGCGGTGTGTGCCGAGTGAGTGTTGCGTGTGCCCATGCCCATGGGCCATGGCTGGGACGGGGCCGTGCATGCGCGCGCGCGCGCCCACGAGACAACTAGGGGGGTCCAGTTCTGCGTGTCCAGCAGGGATCCGGGCCAGCACTGCCCTTCCCCGCTTGGCCTGTCCGTGTGTCCAGGCGCGTCCTCCTCGCGGGCCGGGGCAGGGGAGGGGAGAGGAGGAGGTGTGTGTGTGGGTGGGGGGGTTCTCTCCGCCCGCCCCCGCCCCCACTCCCTCAGTCCCGGGATCGAACCTTATTTAGAGTCGCGATTCGACATCTGTTTTCAAATTTGATCAGCTCTGAACTTTATTTTCCGAGTTTGAGGAAAATTATATTCCATCGATCGCGCTCCCGCCCCCTCCCCCGCACCGCCCGCCGCCGCCGCCGCCGCCTCCATATATCTGCGCGCGGAGCGGGGCCGGGCGGCCGCGAGGGCGGGAGGCGCGCGGCGCCGAGGAGGAGGAGGAGGAGGAGGAGGAGGAGGAGGAGGAGGAGGAGGAGGACCAGGAGGAGGAGGAGGACCAGGAGGAGGAGGAGGAGGAGGCGCAGCGCCCGCCCGCCCCGCGCCCCCCGAGTCCCCGCGCCCGCCCGCGCGCCCGCGCTCCGTCCCCCGCGCCCCGCGCCACGCGCCCCGCGCCCGCGTCCGTCTCGGCGCGTCTCAGTGTCGGTCTGTCTCTGCGCATCGTCCCGTCTCTGCTTGGGCTGCCCCCCAGCTCGGCCGGTCTCTCCCTGTCTTTCGGCGTCGGGGTCTCGCTAGGTCACGATCTCTCTCTCGGGGACTCTCGCTCGCGCCCCTCTCCATCTCCACCCCCTTCTCCATCCCCCGGGAGTCGGGGGGCCGCTCCTCTAGAGACCACCACGCCCCGCGCCCCGCCCCGGTGCCCGCTCCCCAGGACGCCGCGGGGCCATGGCTGCGGGACCCGAACTTTAAGCACTTCTCCCCGGACCGCTGCGGATGCGCAGAGCCAGCAAAGTGAGTGAGCGGCTCGGGCCGGCGCAGGGGCGGGGATGGGGGCGGGGATTCCTGCCCGAGGCGGGGGCCGGGGCGCGGGGAGGTGGTCCCCGGAGACCTCGGCGCCCGGGTCCCTGAGCCCCAGGCCCGGGAGGTACTGGGGGGGGTCTCCCAGTTGTAGGGAGGGGTGAGGGGTTGCGGGGGGGGATGGCGGCCTCCCGGCAGGGTGCGGAACTTGGGTCGCGGGAGATGGGGGATAGGAGAGACGCGGTCTGCTTACTTGGGAATGAGGGGTGGCAGGCCCTGACGGTTGGGGCTCCGAGTCCTGGCGAGGTTCGAGACCAGCGCTCAGCGTTGGCACTTGGGGAGCAAAGGGCTCCGCCGACCCAGGACTGATCAGACATTTGGAGTTGAAATTTAACCTCGGGGCTGAGGGAGCTTGGGGTCCGAATTAGGGGCGCGAATTTGGGTCAGGGGTCCACATGGAGTTGGGTTGGCAGCGCTGGGAGGTCTGAATTTGGGACTGGGTTTCAAGACTGAAAGTCTGCAGGTTTGAATTTGGGGAGCCTGGATATTAGATGTTAGGGTTCCCTTGCGGGTGTGTGTGGGAAAGATATTTGGGTCCTTGTGGGGAGGGCTGGGGACGCACAGGTCTGACCCTGACCTTGGGGGGCATGACCTTCTGGGGACAGGTGCCTTAATGTATCACACAGCTGTGCTTTCCAGGTCTTTCCACAACCCACCACGGCCCTCTCTTCTTTGGTGGGGTTCCCTGACTGAATCAGGATCACCCCGACTCTCATAGGGCCTGTCTCTCTGTCTCTGCCCACCTGTTTGGCTTCTCCCCAGCCTCTCCTTGGCCGGCCTGTCCTTCCCAGCTCCCCTCGCACTGTCTCTCCATCTCTGCGTCTCGCACCATCTCTCCGTCTCTGTCTCTCCCAGTGTCTCTGTCTCTGTCTCCCCCTCGCTGGTTTCCGCTCAGATTAAGCCGGGGACCTAATTCCAGGCCCAGGATCGAATTTTCTGGCAACAAAGGGAAATAGCGAATCGATCGGTCGCTCCGGAGATTAAGAGACAAGCGGCGCGCGGATCTATCACGGCTAAACGGCCCCCCCGCCCGCTGCCCCCGCCCGGCCGGCCGCGGAGGCCCAAACGCGCTCCGCATCGCCAAGCAGCCTCTGGAGCCAACTGCGTGCCCAGCCCCAGGAGGGACCCGAGAACCCCCACAGGCCCCTGGGGAGGCCGGGAGAGGGGAGCCAGTGAACTGTCCGCACCTGTGGCCTCAGGTAACACCTTTCACCTCACCTGTCCAGGAGCACACCTGCCCTGTCTGTTCCTCTCTGGTTCCCCACATTGACACCTCCAGGTCCTACTGATCTCCTACTGTATCCCCCACCCCACCCCATACGCTGTTAGCATCTGTCCTCGGCACCTGTTTCTCTCCACCTGCTCCTCCAGGTAATGCTTGTCCCCTTGAAACCTGCCCCAGAGATGCCCATGCCCTCTCAGGTAAGACAGACCCCTCTTACCTGCCCCCCAGAACTGGCCTTTCCTCCTGGGCAGAGCATCAGATCACATCTGTGTCTTTCTCAATCCGCCTCTGTGCCATACCTGCACCCCCCCCAGTGCCCTGCTTGTTCTCACCTCTCTGCTGCCCTCCACAGAACCAGTTCCCTTATCCCCCCCTCACACATCCCTTACTTGCCACAAGCATGCAACACGTGTACCCTCTCCTGATCTGCGTCCACCTCGCTGCTGCCCGTCTCCCACCTGCCTTTCCAGAGGCTCTTGCCAGCCACAGCTCACCTGAGAGCACCCCATTCTCCCCAGGTTTGACAGGAACATCCTACCTGCTAATGCCCCAGTTCACACCTGTTTTCTCCCTTGCCTTGCCACTTCGGGGTAGCTTGTCTGGCTGACAGTGGTGCCCCCAGTCACCTCCTGGAATTCCAGCCCCCTGCTTGCTCTTCCCAGGGTCCCCAGTTTCAGGTGGATCTTTCTTTTTCGTGTGCCTTTGAAGGGCCCCTGTGGGCCACACTGGGTCTGGCCTTCCTGTCTTCCCCACAACACACACCCAGCTTCTCACCTGCACACATTTGCCCTTTGGGGCGGCCTGTGACTGGGAGCAGGTGCCCGCTCCTCTGCGTCTCCCCACTGTCCCTCCCCTTCATCTCCACATCATCCCTCTCCGCAGTTCCCCTACTTCTTGCTCCTTGCTGGGGCACAAGGTCACATGACGGAGCCACAAACATACTGCCCTTCGCCTGTGCAGGACTCCTCCTCTCTCCCTTCATCTTTTGTTCTTTGGTTTGTTTCTTGGGGCACACCCAGCAGTGCTCAAGGCTTCCTCCTGGCTTTGCATTCAGGAATCATTCCTGGCTCCAGGGGACCCTATGGAGTGCTGGGGATCAAACCCGGGGCCAGTGATATACCAGGTGAATGCCCTCCCAGCTGTCTGATGGTTCCCACTCCCTCCCTTGAACTTCTCTCTGTGTCCCTTGCTCCCACCATCCCTGCCATTGCCCAGGGAATGCCTACTGCCCCCTAGTGGCTCACCTGACCTGCAACACTCAGTCCCCTGTGTACCCTCCACCCGGTAAGACACTATGCACCTGCCCCAAACCACCTTCTCTACCTGCTCCTGGCACCTCACCTGTCCCCTGTGACCTCTGGAAACACTTGTCCCCTCTCATGGGCTGCCATGTCCCCGGTACCTATCACGATGCCCAGCTGTCTCCAAGTCTCAGCAGCCGGTCCCAGACTCCAGCACCTGAGAAATCGCTGGAGCAGGGACTGCCAGGGACTCTGCATTTCTGAGCTGCAGATGCAGCTGTGGCTACAGGTAGTTCCCAGACCACAGGCGTCCCACCCCGTGTCACCATATGCCCCAGTAGATGACCTGGGAGGCCTTCGGACATCTGTCTCGTGATGTCCTGTCTCTGCTCTGCATGCCCATCCTGGCATTTCATCCCCCCAAGACCCTGACCAGGCAGATTCTCACTCTTGTCCGTGTTTGACAGAGGCAGAGCCTGCGCTCCGAGGAGGGGAGAGACAGAGGCAGCATTTCTCTGACGCTCTCAGAGCTGAATTGCATCACAGATGCCCTCTGACTTCAGAGACTATCCTCCTAGACATGCAGGTGTCCTTGATCCACAGCCATGTGGGTTCCCACAGTGCTTGGCCCAACCTGCTCCTCCAAGTCCTGCCACCGGCTCTATTGGAGGTCTGACCACTTAGGGACTCTCCCACCACAGTTCTGCATCCTCAATCCCACCTGCTCCCTCCCCCCATGCCCACACAACCTCCTGTCTGCACAACCTCCTGCCCGCACAACCTTCTGCCACACAACCTCCTACCCACACGACCTCCTTCCTTCACAACCTCCTGCCTCGCACAACCTCCTGCCCGCACAACCTCCTGTGCGCGCAACTTCCTATTTGCACGACCTCCTGCCCGCACAACCTCCTGTATGCACAACCTTGTGCCTGCACAACCTCCTATCTGTACACTCTCCTGCCCTGCACAATCTTCTGCATACACAGCCTCCTGCCCACACAGCTGTCTGTCAACGTACCTGTCCCCCAGAAACTCCTTGGTTTGTCCTGCAGACTTCTCTCTCCACGTGGACCTTTCTCTTCTTTTTTGTTTTGGGGCCACGCCCAGTAGTGGCCCTGTGGTGAGGAATCACTCCTGGCGATGCTTGATGCTTGGGGGAACCTAGGCAGTGCCAGGGATTGAACCAGGGTTGGCTCCATGCAAGGCGTGTGCTTTACTATCCCCCCGCCCCATGCTCTCTCCCCAGCCTTCTCATTCCATCTTCTCCCTCCTTTTGTCGCTGTCCCTTGTTCTTTCCTCTGACAGTGCAACTATTGGCTTGAAGTCCTGTTGACCCCTGCTTGTGCCTGGTCACCATCCTGCCTCCCTGGATCCCGTGAATACTCCCTGTATGAGCCTCGGTTTCCACATCTGTGAAACGGGCACAGGGCCATCGTTCCCTCCCAGCTGCTGCCAAGAATGAGGGTGTGAAGACCAGGGAGAGAGAGGGCTACACCTCACTGCCTGTCTCCCCATCCCTAGATCTGGTCCCTTTCTCAGAGATGCTGCCCAGAAGGGCTGTAGGTGACAGTGTGTGGTGGGAGGGGGCTGGGCCTGGGAGGAGAGGGGTAGGCAGAGGCATCCTGGCCGGAGCCAGCCTGGGCACGGGACCTGGTGTGGGGCTGGGGACAGGGATCGATCTGCCTCGGCGGCAGTGCGCGGGCCAGGATTGCATCTTGTCACAATAATTTATTGCTCTCATCCCGTCTGATCGATGGCGCTGAATTAGCACCGCTTCAGATGCCCCCGGAGCCCCGAGCCTCTCCCTGTCCAGCTGGACCCTGGCCCTTCTCTGGCCCCTTGTGGGGGGCCCCCGCAGCCCAGGCCCCAGGCCCTAACCTGTCCTCTGTTTCCCTCCCTGCTGTGTTTGTCTCCAAGGCCCTCTCTATGTCCCGTTTGCCTTTGACCACCTCCCTGTTCCTCGTTTGCTCAGGGACCCTCTCTCCCCGCGTGGCCCCTTTCCTCCCTCCCTCTCGCCCGCGTGTCTCTTGTCTCCCCCTTTTTCGCAGCCCTCAGTGTTCCCTCTGCCCATCTCTGCCCTTCAGCTCCTGCTGCCCCGCCCCCTCCCTTGACCCCTGACCCTCTGGCCCTTTACACCTGCCATCTCTGTTTCCCTTCCTGGCCCTGTTTCAGCTGGCCTCCCCGGAAATTGTGTTTCCCAGCCTGAAGCTGGTGCCCATCCCCTGCCTGGGCACAACAGCCCCCCCCCACCCTGCTCCCTACCCCCCTGTGTGGTCCCACTTGTAACTCTATGGCAGCCATACCGGCCTTCAGCTTCTGTCCCCTCCCCGCTGTGCCACCAGGGGCCGGGGTGATAGTATTGTGGGGAGGGTGCTTGCCTTGCACACGCTGATCCGGGTCCGATCCCCAGCACTCCATATGTTCCCTCAAGCCTGCCAGGACTGAGCCCTGAGCACAGAGCCAGG